AATCTACAGTGTCTTTGGAAGAACTGAAGCTGTAATGGCTTTTTAGACATTTCATTGTCCAATGATTTCAGTGCTTATGCACTTCTGTTGTGGTGCAGAAAGATGAATATTTAGCATGTCAGTTAAATGGAAACTATAGCATGTCAGTTTAATGGAAACTGTAGCACGTCAGTTAAATGGAAACTCCAGTTCTGTTTCTTTTGGAAGTTTTTTTATATTTTCCTAAACCTTCAAAGACCATGCAAACCATTAGTCATTCTTAGATCCTTTTTGATCCAATAACTAATTTATTAGAAAAAAATACTTTTTAATAAGCTTTTTACAAACCCAAATTCTGCAAAATCAGGTTCTTTTCCTACTATTGTTGAGCCCAGGCATTTTGGGGTGAAATCAACATAAGTCAAGGGAGGTAATTCTTCTGGCTCTGGTACCTCATTGCTGTCACTATTATCTATGGGTTGTGTCTCTTCTTCAACTGCATCTTTAGCTTCTTCCTCATGCTGGTCCATCTCAATGCTCTCTTTTGCTTCTTCTGTCATTTCTTGAAGAATAACGTCCATATTTAATTATTTCTGTTTTAGGATCTTACAAAGAATAATTAGGCCACCAAAGTTATGATGTACTGACTGAGCTTGAGGTTTAATAAATAACTGCATCAATAGACTATAACGTCTATGGCCTGTGGGGGGTGACCATGCAGGAAAAAACGATACTATTTATTTTTGAAGAGAAAAGAGCAAATGGTTTGGGTCAGGCCACTTTCATATCACTTGTGTATGTAATGATTTGGCTAAGTAAACATGGATTGGATGAAATGCCAGGACTTAAAAGGAAATAAATTATTGAGATTGAAAGAATTCATTTTTTTTAAATAAATTTTATTGCGTCTGTTTTAATCAGCCCTACCCATTCATTGTAATAGAGTTTATAAACGACAAACATGATTTTGGAAATAACACCAATTGAAATAAAGTAAGTGGCATCAAAGGGGTAGCTACTCTGTTTTAAAAAATTTGGACATATGGGGCCGTCTATAAAGTACGTCACGCTCCAGAGGGGGGAGGGGTGTAAGAAAGTGTGACAGTTTGTGACAGGGGGGGGGGGGGGCAGGCCATGTGTGACGTCACACATTTATTTTTTTTAATTTTATTTCTAATTTATTTATTTTTTTTTTAGTAGAATTTAATAGCTTTAAGAATAATTTTCAAAAATTTTGTGAAACATTTGAATTGGTTTTATGTCAAAATAGCATGAAATGCCTATCTCCTAAATGTGTTGTTCACGATTCCTCTCGCTAGGAGC